CGCCTCCTGGGTTCAGGCAATTCTCCTGCCTCAGCCTCCTGAGTAGCTGGGATTACAGGCACGCGCCACCATGCCCAGCTAGTTTTTTGTATTTTTAGTAGCGACGGGGTTTCACCATGTTGACCAGGATGGTCTCGATCTCTTGACCTTGTGATCCACCCGCCTCAGCCTCCCAAAGTGCTGGGATTACAGGCTTAAGCCACCGCGCCCGGCCTTGTTTTTCTTTTTTGAGATGGAGTCTCGCTCTGTCACCCAGGCAGGAGTGCAGTGGTGCGATCTCGGCTCACTGCAACCTCCGCCTTCCATGTTCAAGCAATTCTCCTGTCTCAGTCTCCCAAGTAGCTGGGATTACAGGTGCCCGCCACCATGCCCGGCTAATATTTGTTTTTGTTTTTGTTTTTTTTTTTTTGAGACGGAGTTTCACTCGTGTTGCCCAGGCTGGAGTGCAATGGCGCGATCTCGGCTCACCGCAACCTCCGCCTCCTGGGTTCAGGCAATTCTCCTGCCTCAGCCTCCTGAGTAGCTGGGATTACAGGCACGCACCACCATGCCCAGCTCATTTTTTGTATTTTTAGTAGAGACGGGGTTTCACCATGTTGACCAGGATGGTTTCGATCTCTTGACCTCGTGATCCACCCGCCTCGGCCTCCCAAAGTGCTGGGATTACAGGCTTGAGCCACCGCGCCTGGCCAATATTTGTATTTTTAGTAGAGATGGGCTTTCACCATGTTGGCCAGGCTGGTCTCGAACTTCTGACCTCAGGTGATGTGCCCGCCTTGGCTAGGCACCAGTGTTTTGCAAGATGTTGCCATGGGGGAAAGTGAGTAAAGGCTACCCTTGGGCTCTCTGTATTATTCTTACAACGGCATAGAATCTACCATAGTTTCGGTCAGGTGCGGTGGCTCACGCCTGTAATCCAAGCATTTTGGGAGGCCGAGGCAGGCAAATCATGAGGTCAGGAGTTTGAGACTAGCCTGGCCAACAAGGTAAAACCTCATCCCTACTAAAAATACAAAAACGACGCAGGCGTGGTGGCGCGCACCTGTAATCCCAGCTACTTGGGAGGCTGAGGCAGGAGAATCGCTTGAACCAGGGAGGCGGAGGTTGCAGTGAGCCGAGATCGCACTACTGCACTCCAGCCTAGGCGACAGAGCGAGGCTCTGTCTCAAAAAAAAGACACAAAAAACAAAACACAGAGAAACACAGGGGCCAAGGCCAGGTGATGACAGAGGCAGAGATTGGAGTGACGGAGACACAAGCCAAGCAACACCAAGGACTGCTGGCCACCCCAAAAGCTGGAAGAGGTGTGAAGGATCCTCCCCTGGAAACTCCAGACAAGGCACAGCTCTGCACACACCTGGATTCCAGACTTCCGGCCCCCAGGGACTTGCTCAAGCCCAGAGGACCCACAGAGCAGAAGCCGCAGACGCCCAGGCTCAGCACAGGTTCCTTCCTAATCAGTTTCAGGTCTCCGGAAATGCCGTGTTTGCTGACTTACACAGACCTTGCTTTCAGCTGCAGCTTCGTATCTGCTTCCTGCACCCTAGACTTATCTTCTCCCACGGAGCATCCTTAGGCTGATCACACCTGGCACCCGGCCCTGTCGCCTTCCTGAGTCAGCACAGTCCCTGGCCCACGGGAAGTCCTCGGTAAACAGCCTGGGCCACAAACAGGATCGAGATGACATCCTTGCAAGGTGTCTGAGGGCTGCAGTGACGCCTGTTATCTGCAGGCAGCTTTCAAACACCTAGGAAGGCAATAAAAAATAAATTAGGGTGTCAGCTCCCTGAGGCCAGACACTGTGTTTTGTGTTTTGTTCTGTGTCCTCTGTACCCAGGACACTGTCCAACACGCAGTGGTTGTTCAATAGATATCTGTGCAACCAATGACAGAATGTGGTCTTAAACTAGAAGTTGGCCTTCCAAAGGGATTTCTTTGCTATGCACAGCATTTTATGTTTTTAAAAAATTAATTTTTCTTTATTTTTTTAAGATGGAGTCTGGCTCTGTTACCGAAGCTGGAGTGCAGTGGTGTGATCTTGGCTCACTGCAACCTCTGCCTCCTGGGTTCAAGGGATGCTTCTGCCTCAGCCTCCTGAGTAGCTGGGATTAAAGGCATCACGCCTGGCTAATATTTGTATTTTTAGTAGAGATGGGATTTCACCATGTTGGCCAGGCTGGTCTCGAACTCCTGACCTGAGGTGATCTGCCCACCTCGGCCTCCCAAAGTGCTGTGATTACAGGCATGAGCCACGGCAGCTGGTCATTTTTTTTTTTTTTTTTTTTTGAGACAGGGTTTTGGTGCGTCACCCAGGCGAAAGTGCAGTGGTGTGATCACAGCTCACTGAATCCTTGAACTCCTGGACTCAAGCCATCAAGCCTTCTGAGTAGCTGGGTGTACAGGCATGAGCCACCACGCCCAGCTTTTTTTTTTTTTTTTGAGATGGAGTCTTGCTCTGTTGTCCAGGCTGGAGTTCAGTGACAGGATCTTGGCTCACTGTAACCTCAGTCTCCCAGGTTCAAGTGATTCTCCTGCCTCAGCCTCCCTGGTAGCTGGGATCACAGGCACGCGCCACCACACCCAGCCAAATTTATAAAAAAAATTTTCTGCTGAGACAGGCTTACTATATTGCCCAGGCTGGTCTTGGAATCTTGGGCTCAAGCCGTCATCCCACCCTAGTCTCTCAAAGTGCTGGGATTATTGGCGCGAGCCACTGTTTCTGGCAATTGTCCACATTTTATAAATGAGAGATTGCAGCCGGGCGCGGTGGCTCACGCCTGTAATCCCAGCACTTTGGGAGGCCGAGGCGGGTGGATCGCAAAGTCAAGAGATCAAGACCATCCTGGTCAACATGGTGAAACCCCGTCTCTACTAAAAATACAAAAAATTAGCTGGGCATGGTGGCACGTGCCTGTAATCCCAGCTACTCAGGAGGCTGAGGCAGGAGAATTGCCTGAACCCAGGAGGCGGAGGTTGCGGTGAGCCGAGA